TGTTTTTCAAACAAAACAGCTCAGTATTCCCACAAACTACACTTAGAGTCCATACCGGAGGCCCTCTGACACTGATTGCTCAATATAAACAGCATTTAATGAGCTATAAAGAAGAGGAGTCATTTAAGGGGAACAGAGCTTTATGCTGAAGAGTTTTTAAAAGATTTCACATTCAGTGTGAAAGAGGAATGTGAAACAAAATGCCCCGTCAGGTATAAAAGGAACAGAGGCACTGAAGTCAGAGATCAAGGTAATCTCTTAAGGTTCACCAAAGTAGCTAGATTAACTTCGTTTATTTTTTTATGTGTTTATTCAAATTATCTTAATAGAGTTCAAAGCAAAAAGGCTCCACAGAACTTGCCCTCACCTCACTTACTACCTGGCAAAGCAGAGTTACAAACATGTGATTCAGTATACCACAACAAGCATCACTACAGGTAATGTGCCAGTGATTTGATGGCCCATAGCAAGGGAACTTAACACTAACCAGGGGAAATTCAGAAGGCTTTCTGGTATAAATAAAGGACACTAAGAGGAATCCAGGTGTCCACAGGATCTAAATACTAACTGTAGGCCTGGAACACTCTAGATGATCCATGTGTGCTAAATGAAATACCAACTTGCAGACATAATAATTTCTGGAAAAATAATTCATGCTTCTGGAATTGCCTTCCTGTCACTCTACCGTCCCCCTCATTAAATCAACAGTAAAAATGTTCGCAGCCGGGCTCGGTGGCTCAGCCTGTAATCCCGCGCCTTTGGGAGACTGAGGTGAGTGGATTGCCTGAGCCCACGGGTTCGAGACCCACCTGGGTGGCGAGACCTCATCTCTACAATAAATCAAAAAATCAGCCAGGTGTGGTGCGCATGCCTGTAATTCCGGCTACTTGGAAGGCCGAGGCGGAAGGATCACTGGAGCCCAGCAGGTCGAGGCTGCAGTGGCCGGGAGCAGCCACTGCACTCCAGTCTGGGCGACAGAGTGAGACTTCAACTCAAAAAAAAAAAAAAAAAGTTCGCTACAGTGTGTGGCGATTTTTACAAGCAGAAATACCCAAAGAAGTAAAGCATTCATTTCTGAGTTTCAAAAGGGAAATTTGAAACTTACAGGGAAGAAAATAGTTATAAGAAAAGGGTTTTGAATGGGGGGGATGACTTTCCATATTTATAGCCAGAGGCCTAAGGGAATCAGGACATTAAGATTACTATGTGAACAATTTAGAGAATACACATGGAAGAGCCAGTTTTCCTACTCCAGAGTAGTAAAGGGCCCACAGTCCAAGAGCAAGGGAAGACATCAGAGGAGCCAGTGACTGACCTTGAGAAGGTGTCTTTAACCTACCCCACTGAGCTGAGCACAAGGGCCAGGAATGGGGGTAGAAGAATAATAGAAACCTCAATCATTTGGAGATATGGAAGCAGAAGTCTTGTGCCTTCCTACCCAGGGACCCAACCAAGCACCCAACATTCTCCTGATGGGTTCCAGTAGAAAAATGGGAAAGCAATTTGCAGTGTCGATGTGCCTAAAAAGGCCTTGTAGTTGGAATAAGGAAGATGCAAAGTGACCCATGACAACTGTAACTGAGACCAGAGGAATCCTAAATATCTCAGCAATGACAGGGTCAATGAATGACAACAACCGGATGAGGAAACCATACCCACCTCCCTGAAATTTTAGGTAGCCCTGGGAAAAGGAGGGAATCCCTGATTCAACAGAATTTATCCTCATTGTTCAACATGAAATTTGTTTTGCAAGGTCAAATTCAGGCATAGAAACAAGATTATATTGAGTCAGAAAAATATAGTTAGTCAAAGAGAGAGAGAGTGAGCACACCTGTTTGTAGTCTGTGAAATTTCAGGTATCTACAAAAGAAGCAAAACCATCATTTTTTAATTAATTAGAGGAAAGCTACAAAGAAAAGAAAGGTTTGTAGATGGAATGCCAATTTTTAGCTTGACAAAAATCAGGCCAGCAGAATGCAGGCTTTTATAATAACTCAGCTAGAAATAATTAGAGTACACATAAAACAAAGTGATTTTGATCCTTGAATCCAGGAAGGTAGCCTTGAAGTAATAAGCTTTTAGACCAGGCTATTCTGAAGATCAGAAGCACCAAGTGAATAAGCAAATTGACAATTCTGAGCAGTAGTTAAATGAGAGGAAAGGCTTCTAAACTAGGAAAAGGCCAGTGAAAGGTTGTTTCCACTTATTTTCACTCAATAGGAAAAATCAAGGTCAAAATTGAGTAGTAATTGAAAATTTAGTACAGAAGTTATCACAAAACTTGTGTTTAACTTTGACTTAAATTTTTTGCACAAGTAATAATAATTAGAAACATTTCATATTTAGGTTATTTTAATGTAGGTTTCATATATACAAATGAAATATAGATATATTGTATAATATTACATATTATATGATAAAATGTCATTTAGCATATAAGTTAAAAGAATATAAATTACATATAACAAAATTATATGTATGCATGCCTGTATTTTATTTAACATTTCTTTGGTTAAGAAATATAGACATATTGTATAATATTACTTATGATATGATCTAATGTTATTTAGTATATAAATTGAAAGAATATAAATATATATGTAATGAAATTATGCAGATGTATGACTATACTTCATTAACATTTCTTTGGTTAATCTGATCTAAAATGAGCCTAGCTATTTGAACTACACCATCCAAGTCAAGCAGAATAAGTACAAACCAAATCAAATGGTGTATGCTGAGCTATACCTTATAATATTAAATGAATTTCAGAAATATTGACTAAATAAGCTGCTCACCCCTCAAGAAAACATACAGAACAAGATGATAGAATGTGAGTGAGTGGAGTTAAACAATTTAACTAATAAAAACAAACACGATGAGTAACAAACTGGGGGAAATTGGAGATGGTCTCATGGGAATCTGGACCCAGACCCAGAGTCATTGAGAAAGATCAACAGTGTCTCAAGGCCAATAACATAGTTGTGGAATGGCAAACAGAGAGATGAGGGGAATGGTGAGAAAAAAGCAAATCATTAGACTTCACAGCAACTTTATGATATGTCAAACTACAAGGCTGTCAGGTAAACTTCAACCCACACACCACTGTGATGAACATCGCATTGTTTCTCTGGACACACTTCTTCCATAAATGATTAAGAAGGAAAATATTCACTATCAGTGCATTTATCCATTTCCTAAAATGGTACCTGGTACAGAGTAGGATTTGTACTAAATGTAATTAGAATTTAATTGGGATTTATTTACTTAGATTAAATTTATTTCTTAAGAATTACAGATAAGAGCTAAAGGGAGAGCTAGAAATGAGGAACCCAATTCATAATGCTATATTTTATGCAATATCTTCCTACTTTACAGCCAATTATAAGACAGAAGTAGATCATAATTCCTGATTCTGCATTTTGATCCAAGAACTGCTCCATTATGAAGTTATCAATACAGATTTAGAGTAATGAAAATGACTCTCAAAGCTTCTTCTACTCAGCATGTAGGGTTTAGGGTATAAAAATGAACTGGAGGCATCAAGAATCTTTAGTTCACATTAAAGAATTAAGGAATCTTCGCACAATTCCAAACATTCTGCAACTTGAAGAGAGGACTATTCCTAGGATCAAGGCCATCTCTGGTTTGAGAGGAACTTAGTTGCTGTGGGTCCCTGAGACTAGTAGTCTCTAAAGTGGGCCATGAGGACACTTGCGGGTGGGATATTGATCAGTGTGCTTGATTCAGATACAGGAAGAAATTATTAGAACTTAAATCTACATTTATTTTTATCTTTAAAATGTGAGACAGAAATTAGGGTGTGCTAATGTTTAATACACCGTTTGATGATATTACCTGTATGTCATTTCTATTGAGGGTACATGTTGGAAAGTATTTTTTCAACATAGGGGTGAGATATGTGAAAGCATGAAGACTACTGCTTTAAACTTGACCAGGGATTCTTAAAAGGCATAAGGGTAAAGGAGAAACCCGGTTCCTTTAATACCTACCATGTACCAGGTGACAACATGCTTTATCTCCTTGATTTTCCACCATAACCCATTGAGATAGATGTTACTATTCCTGTTACACAATAAGGAAACAGGGATTCAAAAAAACCAAGAGTCTAGCCCTGGGTCACAAACTTGGCAAGTGCCAGTGATAGAACTAAAATTCTGGTCTGTTGTTAGATTGTATGTTCTTTCCTTACACCACAATATCTAAAGAACTGCCAACTCTGAAACTAGCATTACTAAGGGATTCAACCCTGCAGAAATTGCTCTTGTGTGAACACAAGCTTCCCATGGGAAACAATGTATGGCAAATTCTTACTCTGTAATAATTTGAATAGTAGAATGTCCCTAAGGATGTCCCAAAGCCCATGCAAAACAGTTAATACTGTGGGGCATTATGAGTCATACAAGTTATTCTTATACTGAAATAATTATTAAGAATCATTAATACCCTACTCAATAGAGATAAAATCCCCCAAAGAATCCATTGTATAAATTTGGTAGATACTAAAAATCCGTGTGTGTGTGTGTGTGTGTGTGTGTGTGTGCAGGAAACAGAGAGAAAGTGAGGGGACAGAGGAGAAAGATACTGCAAAGGCCCAGATAAGCAATAACAAAGTTTAGAAGTTCTTTTTTTTTTTTTTTTTTTTTTTTTTTTTGTTGAGTTGGAGTCTCACTCTGTCACCCAGAGTGCAGTGGCTGCTCCCAGCCACCGCAGCCTCGACCTGCTGGGCTCCGGCAATCCACCTCAGCCTTCCAAGTAGCCGGAATTACAGGCATGCACTGCCACGTCCAGCTAATTTTTTTGATTTGTTGTAGGGGTGAGTGAATTGCCTGAGCCCACGGGTTCGAGACCCGCCTGGGCAGGCGAGTCTTAAAGAATGGAGATTCTAAGTTCTCCTAATCTCTAATATCCCCTATCCTTTTTGCCCTGTGAAGTCTTAAGTGATCAGAAAACATTTGTGTAAATTATAGTACAGTTACCTTGGTCAGTTTCATTTCCAGCACATGGCTACTATGGATCCGACTGTCGAAATGAGCTACTTCTTTGGAAGAGGACTTAACCTTGGCAATGATCTTTACGTAGGAGAACACGATCACAGCCGTTGGGAGCAAGAGGCAGAAGAAGAGGATGTTCAGGATGAAAACCTGGCCCCCTACCGAGGCCTGGGCCAGCCACCAGTCCAGAGTGCACGAGGTTCCGAAGGGCTCAGGTGCGTAGTCCCCCAGACCTACCAAGGGCATGGTAGTCCAGAAGGAAGCATAGGCCCAGATGGCTGCCAGGCAGATGTAGGCGTGCTTTCTTTTCAGCCAAACCCCTGGAGGCGGAAGAAAAGCATTACCCGGATGTAATCTGCCCTACACCCAAATACCTCCCCTCGATCTGTCAAATTCCACCTCCAAAGATTTATTCCATTGAATTCTGGGAAACATGGGCAGATAACTGAAGCCTGAGGGAGAGTGCAGTAAAAGGGGAAAAGTTCCAGAGCTTGGGCCTTTCTCCAGGAGAACACAATTTGAAGAGATTTCACAGGGAAGGTTTTCTCTAGGCAGCTGGGAGCTTTGGAAGGGAGAAGTGACAAAAGCTGGGAAAAGGGTACAGTAAAGAGATGAGAGGATGCTGAAGACAATGGAGGATTGTGGGAAAACATCTCAAAAACATGTGTTACTGAGTCATCCAAGGGAGAATCCTTCTTGGGAGGTGAGAAATCACAAAGCATTGCTTGTGTCTTTAAAACACTCTTCTTCCTAAAAGCATTTGTGTCTCTAATCTCATGTGTCTTCCTAAGAACTTGTTGAGGGGGTGTGGGTGGCTTATGATCATGACACTACGGTGTGAGGTTAAAGTGGTTGACTGTGCCTGGTGATTTGTGAAACAGATTTAGAATCTTCAGCCATTATTCACACACAACAGTCACGCTCACGCAGCCCATGGCAGGAGAGGCAGAGAATCTAGGAAGGTTGCATCATGTTCTGCAAAAGTAATTCAGTGAAGATATTTTCAGGAAGGCAAAAAAATGAACTCTGTTTTTCAGCACTAGTTTCTGTTAACCAAAAGAGAATTCCAAGAGGAAGAAATAGTGCAGTCATCCATGAAAAGCTATAAAGCACTGGCGATCATTTCCCGAAGTTCAACACAACCACCAAAGACAGATCAGCGTGATTTAGTGCAGCAGCCTCCTTAGGTAATTACCTTCACACCTCACTCATCACCTCCAACGAAGAGAACCAGGGAAGAGACTCCTTTCTGCTTTGGTTTTGTAGTAGCAAAGAAGAAATGTCAAAATATTTTCCATAAAAGCCAAATTATTTCTTCAACATACACTCAGGGCCTGCCTCTGCTTACTGTGTGTGAGGTTTGAGATGTCAGTCAGGCTTAATTCTTCTTTGTCTAGTATTTGCTCTTGTTCATGTAACCTTTCTAGATAGTCAATGTTCTTATCGGTAAGGAAGAGGAAATAGAAGCATATTGCTTGCAGGTTTTGATATGGGTTAAGTAAAATATGTAAGGGACCTGCTTTGCAAGCTAGGAAGCACAACATCAATGTGAATTTTTACTTCTGTGTAAGTGTATCTCATCGAGCGCTAACAAAAAATAAAACAGATGATTTCTATACTCTCTTGTCTCCATTTTTTCAAATACCTGGCATTTTGTATCATGAAATGCAAACTTCTCAAACCCAGCCAGATAGGGGTAGCTTGTAGCCACAATATATGTCAGCTCTTGATTATCCATTATAGCGGATAAAACATTGGCACGGGTAGTCACATATATTCACGGGAATGTGCATAGGCATACGTATAAGCATTTATGGTTAGGATTACTTGTGAGGTGTTTTATACTTACATTCGAGTATGGTGAAAGGCTGTCAAGTACAGGAGGGAGTAGATTAGTAGATTGGTTCTGTGTTGCTCCAGAAGTCAGAACTAGGACCAATGGGTGGAGGTTACTGGGAGGCAGTTTTGTCTCAATATAAGGAATAACATTGTAACAATGAGAGCAGACCAATCAGAGAATGGGCTGCCTTGTGCAGTAGTAAGCTCCCCGTCACTGGTCACTGGAATTATTCAAGAAGAGGCCAAAGGGTCGTCTCTCAGGAATGCCTTAAAACAGTTTACCACAGCCGGACTCGGTGGCTCAGTCTGTAATCCCGCGCCTTTGGGAGGCTGGGGTGAGTGGATTGCCTGAGCCCGTGGGTTCGAGACCCGCCTGGGCAGCGAGACCTCATCTCTACAATAAATCAAAAAATCAGCCGGGCATGGTAGCACGCGCCTGTAATTCCGGCTACTCGGAAGGCTGAGGCGGAAGGATCGCCGGAGCCTAGCAGGTCGAGGCTGCGGTGGCCGGGAGCGGCCACTGCACTCCAGTCTGGGTGACAGAGTGAGACTCCAACTCAAAAAAAAAAAAAAAAAACAGTTTACCACGTTACATGGGAGATAGGGGTATATGTCCCCAAGTGACCTTCTAATTCCAACATTCTAGGAAGCTGTGTGGAGGGTTTAATAGTGCATCAGATAAAAGGATGAAACCATACTACTGATGTTCACCCTTAGAAAAAGCTGGAAAATATACAGTTCCCATATGGTGTTACGCCTTGCAATGATTCTGGCAGCGGGCAACATCATTTCTTTAATTGACACAAAGCCTAAACTCAAGAAAATATTTTAAAACAGAGGCATCAAAGTTTAGTATTCCTCAAATACTCTCAAGAAGTTAAACTTTGTTTGCCTTCTTATCTATAAAATCTGTAGTTAAAATCTATTTAGTATGACAAAAAAATAAGTCTATAAAAAGAATTAGACTATGATGTCATCCAGAATATGTATAATTGTATTTTTTTAATCTTATTGGAAATTTTGATTCAAGCTATTTCTATTGGAAGTTTTAAATGTTTAAAAAAGGGGATGCAAATTTTAAAAATGAGTACTGAATCTTGAAGAGGTTGGTTCACGTCCCTCCCCCATGCATGGTTTCCTTGGAGTTTGGGGATTGTAAACTTTTAAAATAAAAAGGAAAATACTACCACATTGAGAGTGTCAGGTCAACTTGATTTTTTTTCCACCTCAATCTCTAGGTCAAACTCTGACCCCATAGTTTGTCATCTGTCTCAACCACTCTAATTGACAAATTAACTATCAAAGCAGCTTTATACAGAGAAAGTCAGTATTACTCCTTGGTTGTACCCGGTTCTAGATATGAGATATAAAGGCCCAAGTACATCCCTTTCAGGTTCAATAAATTCCCAGAGCCCCAAGAAGTAAAAATTCTAAAAATTATATGAGATCATGGTCAAATAATTTAAAATAATTTTTAGAATTTTTGCTTCTTGGGGCTCTGGGAATTTATTGAACCTGAAAGGGATGTACTTGGGCCTTTATATATACACACATATTTATATATATAAATATATATATACTTATATATATACATATAGATAAGGCTCTGAAAACTTATTTTCTGCTTATTTTCTGCTGGCTCACCCTCACCAATTCTCTTAGTCACTCACCTTTCTACCTACCAATATGACAAAAAAATGTTGAGTGATATTTCTATATGTGTTCTTTCGTGCAGGAAGAGCTACAGGAAACTTGGAGATGAACTCTCTAACTTGGAAGTAAACTTTTTGAAATTCCTGGTCTCTGAAATCATAGGGAGCCTGAGTCCTGAGAGAGAATCATAAACAGCTTTTCTTAGAGTTACACTTCCTATGTGGGGAATCAGCCAAACACCTTGGAACTAACATCCTTTCGATGCATCTTATTTCTTTTCTTTGCATGGCAAAACATGATGGAGGCTTACACACTTGATATAAGAAAATGATACTTTTTAAAAGCACTGTAACCAAACTCCAGGCATGACCTATAAAAGTAGTATTAAAAGAAACTTACTTTGACATAGATTAAAATCCTTAAACATACATTAGAACACGGTAGGCTATACATAAAAATACTCTTGATCTCTGAGGTTATTAATAATATTCATTTATTACCTGTGTAAAATATGTACAGATCTGACACTCAATGCACCTAGCTTTGAATATCAGGAAATGAGAAACCTGCCAACTTACCATAAGATAAATAGCAGATTTTCAAGTATCGATCCAGGCTGACAGCAGTCATGGTGATAAGGCTTCCACAGCCAAAGAAAAATCCAGCCCATCCATACCAGCGGCAGCCAATCCAGCCAAACACCCAGCGGTGACAGAAGCAAGAGATGATGGTGAACGGTTTGCCTATAACTAGAGCACCAAGAACCTCCAGTGAAAATTTCCCACCTACCTTAATTCACCTGGCCCCTCCTCCCCTGAAGCACAGGGCACATGTGAATGCCCACACATACCATTGATTGCACAGACTGTCTAGATTGATACAATTTTGGCAATTATTGTTGGATAAACTGAGTCTGAAACTACCCAGAGAGGTTTTCAGTCATTCCAATAGCCAATGATAGTGAAAAGATATAGAAGAAAAATTTTAAAGTAATTATTACTATAAAGAACTGTCTCAAAGAAACCTGGCTTCAGGAAATACAGGAGATGTGACAATAATCTGGTCAATGTTAATGTCTCATTGAGGCCACTCATTTGAAAATCAAGAGAAAGGGCCAATGTATCCACAGTGAAATCTCTGAGAGAAGATTTCCTCTTCAAGAATAATTTTCTACACTGATTTCCTCCCTACAGTGCCCAAGACTCCATATTTTTTCTCCCTCCAATATTAGACATTCAAGTATGAGGATCAAAAGGTATTAATAGAATACAGTTTTTGTACAATGCACTTCCACATTCATTCAACTTCAGAAACTTCATTCAGAAATTGAGGTTCTGCAGAGCAACGGTCCAATGAGTTGGACTCCAAAAATAAAGATAAAAATAAACGAAAGTATTTACATAATCAAATACAACTGGGCAAAGTTACCTGCTAAACACAATTCTTGGCAGTCAAAATTCAGGGCTCTAAAAATTTCCAAAAGTCAGAAGAGTAACTAACTCTGTGTGCTATGGAATTTTCCAAACCTATTCCACCACAGAACCTTGCATACATTACATTAATTATCCTTTAGAAAATGCTGCTCTATGAATGACAAAACATGGTCTCATTTGAATAGGAAGAATTTTTAAAACTAAGATATCTGTCCTGAACTAAATTGTAATTAGTTGTAAGGAACCCTTACCAATGTGTGTAACATACATACATCCTATCAGAATAGCTGCCCAAGTCAGATAATTCAAAGACTGGTGATATATTTCTACATATGCTCATGCTCTACCATTAATTACAGTTTTTAGCTCACTTGATTTATTTTTCTTCTTGTATTACCATTTCTAGGATTTTCAGTACAATGTCGAGTAGCAGTGATCATAGCAGCCATCTGTGTCTTGTGGCTAGCTTTGTTTTATTATATTTTATTTTATTTTATTTATTTTGAGTTGGAGTCTCACTCCGTCACCCAGGCTGGAGTGCAGTGGCATACTCATGGCCACCCCAGCATTGACCTGGGTTCCAGCCATCCTTCCACCTCCGCCTTCCAAGTAGCCGGAACTACAGATATGCCCTACCATGCCCGGCTAATTTTTGATTTATTGTAGAGACTAGGGCTTGCCAATTTGCCCGGGCTGGTCTCGAACCCGTGGGCTCAGGCAGCCTCCCAAAGTGCTGGGATTACAGGCTGAGCCACCGAGCCTGGCCATTAAGTTTTATTAAATGTTTTTTTTTATATTTACTGAATTGACCATAAGGGCTTTATTTTCCCCTCGTTGAATCTGTTAATACAGATTATTAATAGATTTGTGTTGTTGAAACATAATTATATTCCATGAACAAATACAACCTGTTTTAATAATAACTTTACAAAATTGTCTCAAAAAACAGAGGAAGGGGAGAATGGAGAAAAATAAAAGGAGAAAGACAAAAAAGAAGATGCAAAATGGTGATTTCCATCCTTTTTCCTAAGCGAGGCGTTTAGAGTCTGCGTGTGTAGGGCATGGGATTCCTAAAATGAAAAGGGGAACTTGGTTGCTAACACCCGGAGGTAACCTTATGTTTTAGAAGTTAAGTGTCTGTGAAAGGGATTGAGAGGGGAAAAGGAGAGGTGATCTATCAGAGAAAGCCTTAATTAGGGAAGCATGAAAACTAACCGCTGTGAGTTCTGCAGAGGAGTAGATTGAAAGCACTCAAGCAGAAATTAGAAAGTGCGCTGGAAGAGGAAGCTGCCCTGAGTTCCAAGCACAATTGACAGAATAGTGTGGATAACTTTCTTGGAAATTTGAATTTTTCCTGTATGTTTTTACTATTTGGTTTTTTGCTATTTCCTTGTTATTATTATTAATAAATATAAAGACCTTAAGAAAGCCCAGACAGTCTTCCCAGGGAAGCAATAGGATGGGAGAAGATAAAGAAGGAGAAAGAATATGATTCGATTACTAGGAGAGAACCCTGATGGTCCAACAATGTTCATTTGCTCCTGGTTAGAGCCCAGGGAGTCCATGGTGCTCATCTAAGAGGAGTGTGAGTGTGTGTGTGTGTGTGTGTGTGTTGACTGGGAGGTAGGTAGGTCATTTAGAGAGATATTAAGCAAGAAGCGCTCCATCCTCCACTTTCTGTCAATCAAGAAAGATATTTTCTCACCTGTTTTATATATTCAGTTTTTAAGTCACATTCTTTTTGGGGGAGTTGGAATCTCACTCCATCGCCCAGGTTGGAGTGCAGTGGCACGCTCACGGCCACCCCAGCGTCAACCTTTTGGGCTCCCTTCTGCCTCAACCTTCCAAGTAGCCAGAACTATAGGTGTGCGTTACCACGACTGGCTAATTTTTTTTTTTTTTAATTGTAGAGACGAGGTCTCATCAAATTCCCTAGGCTGATCTTAAACCCGCAGGCTCAGGCAATCCACTTGCCTCAGCCTCCCAAAGTGCTGGGATTACAGGCTGAGCCACCGAGCCCGGCCCATGTTCTTTGTTAAAGAAAAATAATCCACTGTTTTTTAAAAAACAATGTTTAGAGACCATCTATTAAAATCTTTTATTTTAATGTAACAACCAGATTTCATTTCCACATGTTTTCTTCCGTTTCTGTTTTTTGTTTGTTTTATTTCTTTTTTCTTGTTCTGTTTAGTTATATTTTATTGAAAAACAATATAGTTATTTTAGTAAATGTTGGATTCAATCTGTTTACAACCAGATCCAGATTTCTGGAATTTAGACAATTTATTCCTTGGGCCTCCTAGAATTTTTTTAACTTTTTAGAAAGCATTTTTCTACTTTTAATTCATGCCCTGCAGCTCTCCCCATCCAGCTATTATATTTGGTCTTCTCATTCCCTAAAAACAATATGCTGAGGATGTACATCAAAGCCTTTATGTGATCTACACAGCAAAAGAAGGTTCCCTAACCTTAATGCATTAGGAAAACTAAGTAGCTGATAGTCACAGCCTTGCAAGCGCTTGATCCCACCATTCCCAGGTGTGCCTCTCCTTGGTATACAAACATTGAAGGGGGTTCCTGTTCAATTGACACATGTTTACTGAGTGCCTTCTGTAAGCTAGACACACTTCTCCTCTGGTTATCTAGACAGTGCTACTCTCTAACTTGCTAGACTGGGCACCCTCGTATGAAGGTCTCCTAATTCTAGCGACTCTTACTCCATCGTAAGTGACAAAACAGTGAAAAAGAACTGTTTGGAGGTCTATTATTATCCAACCTAATTATTCAATGCCTACTATGTAACAAGCACACAGCAAGGTGACAAAGTAGAGATTGTGACTGACACATTTATGTTCTAATAGGGAGCACAGACAGAAACACACACACACACACACACACACACACACGTTTGTTGTGTAAGATGTGGCCTGACAGAATGATAGATAGTGATTGATGCTGTGAAGAAAAATAAGGCAGAGAAAGGAGACAGACAGAAATTGTTGTTTTACATAAGAGGACAGGGAAGACCTCTGTGAGATGTGACATTTAGGTGATGCCTAAGTCAGTGGGAGACGAGCCGAGCAAACATCTAGAAGTCATCTAGATTCAAGGCAGGGAAGACAGCAGACTCAAAGACTTGAGGTGGGTGTCAGCTGTGTGGATGACTAAAGGCAGCAAAAAGACATGTGAACATGACCAAATGGAGTGAAAGCAGTGCCTGTTATGCCTGGAATCCTGATTAGCAAGTTGTTTCTAGCTTTCTTCTAGGGGAGCATTGTATGAACCATTGGGATGTCATCTGGACTGTCTCTCTCCCTCTCTTGCTCTCTCTCTCTCTCTCTCTCTCTCTCTCTCTCTCCCCACTTAGTAGATGCTTCTGAACCTGACTACACGTTAGAATCACAAAAAAGATTGTCTTGTTTGGCTTTGTTTTGCTTTGCTTTGATTTGATTTGCTTTAAACATCAATGTTCAGGACCCTAGCTCCCCAATATTCTGCTTTACTTTATCTGGAGTGAGCCCAGACATTGCATTTTTTTTTTAATCCCAGTGTTATTCTGATATGTGTACATGACTAGGAGTCATTGGTATTTAGACAGCAAGTATTAGTTGCATAGATGTCATACCTCTGGTCTCTAAGATGTGCTGTTTTAAGATGCTTATGATATAATATAATTGAGCAATAAAAAAGTTAAAAAGACAAAATTTTAAGGTTTATTGGAAGGGAAAGTATACAATAGAAGTTGAAAAAAATAATCTGGATTATAGAAAGCTGTCACGTGAAAGAAAATGATTTCTAGCAAATTACTCTAAAAACATAAGCAGAGTAATGAGGTGTTTGTGCAATTCTAGAGCAGATGTACTTGGTTGAAAGCATTTTTGAATGTATCAGACCAAGTTAGGACTATTTTATTCAAGCCTAGTATAATTCAGCCTAAAGCAAGAGTCTGGTGCTATTCGTTGGTGAAGGATGTAGCTGGAATGACAGGTTTCATTCAGACATTTTACGCTCAGTGCCAGGTAGCGTCTTCACGGGTCAGCTGAATGACCTCACCAGGAAAGCCATCGTTTATGTTGCGACACTGCCATCACGTGGCCCTAGACAAAATGGCAGCCAGTTTGCAGCCTCACACATTCCCTGGGAATCATCCAGATTAGTTTCACAGAAAAGGGCCTGGTATGTCATGGTCTTCTTAATGTGTACATGTATGTATTGTAAGAGTTCATGACATTTAAGCCTCTCGGTACTGAGTAAAGCCTTCTCAAACAACCAAGGTCTTCCAAAGTCTCAACAAAAGAACAACATACCTACCGCTGTGTGGTTGTGACTCAATAGGTAGAGGATTATTATTGAGCCTTGTTTTAAAAACCAGCAGTGTCAGAAAAATGCAATTAACAAGAGAGAAACAAATATAAGAAAACATTTTTAAAAGGAGGATTTTGGTGGGAAGCCGCTAACAAGTTTCTGGTGGTAAATAAGATCTGATGTATCCAGTTCAAACACAATTCCCCCAACTATAATAACCTAACACTGTAAGCTAAATAGTAGATGTTGGGATCCAAAGACAGATTAGAGTACATTTACGCAGTCCTGGAATTTTAAAAAGAAAATGAAGAATGGTTTACCTAAAGTCATTCACTTTTTTTTAAAACAAAGTATAGTTAAAGAGAAATTTTATTCCAACTTATGCTTGCTGGATTATCAGAGAAGCAAAAGAAACATTAAAGAAACTAATGGTTCTCGATTCTGGTCACACATTAACTTACCTGGAGATTCTCATTTTAAATATCTTGATGCCCAGGTCGTGTTCTCAATCACTTAAATCAAAATGTCTGTATGAAATCCAGGTATGAGTATTTTTTAATTCCCCAAGTGATTTTTTTTTTGTACAGCCAAGTTTGAGAACCACTGAACCAGAAACTTCCTATGCTTGTCATCAGCCCCTAAGTCACGATTAAATATATTATTGGCGGGGCAGTCCTTCCCTTTTCCTATAGTCAACTCTTGATTGTTTATAACTGTCATTTATCTTTCAAGACTCCACCCCTTCGATGTTTATTTTAAGCAAACTCCCATACGATTTGGAGGGGTATAAGGAGTTAAAACAGTGGCCTGGAGTCCACCTCTTAGGTTCCAATTTATGAATCATTTAACCCGCTACACTTTGAGGGGTTCTGGGTACCACATATTAGTTCAAATCGTGTCCTCAGGCTCTAACATATCTGGCCCTTAGAAAAGACTCAATAAATATCAAATGAATGATCTCTTTAGTCAAACAGCACTCTATTGACTTACCACAAACTCTGAAAAATGATTTGGAAAGAAGAGCAAGTGGGAATGTGGGAATGATTTGGAAGGAAGAGCAAGGGGGTGACCTCTAAGTCAGTGCGTACTTTAGAAGGGGGAGTAATTTAAACCCACAAAGACATGGGGTGTCTATGTTACCTGAAATCCCCAGATCACAGACTGCTAAATTGATAGTCATTATTTCTGCGGGTCTCAGCTTCTTCTTTCGTCTAGAAGACATATAAAGGACATATCCATTTCCGAATGTGGACAGAATCCCTACAAGGAAAAATAAAAATTCCCATTGTTAAAACTAGGATTTAGAGTTCACTCAGATATGAAACACTTCTCAATCTCAAAAATGGACACCATAGATTTGGAGGGTAGTAAGAGGACTCTAAATAAAAATCTAAATTAAGAAGATGAAATAAAAAGCATGAGTTGTGAGTGACAAGCAAGGGATGGGTTGCCTCCAAAGGGACAGGAGTCAGGGATTGTAAGGCTGAACTTACCCAGAAAAAGGACCTGCTAACTTCCCAGTGAAGCTCAGGAGGGTGTGGGAATCCCCATGGTCAGTTCTTGTACTGGCCTCCAGGGTGGAGTGTTTCCCTCAGCCATTTTTATAGATTATTGGCTTTATAGAACTCCCTCCCTCTGATAAATAGGGTTGCCCCTTGGCTCTTGATAAATTCTGAAGATGAAGCCAACCAAAGAGTGTGCCTTCAGTATTTCCGCGGACTCCCGAGGGAGCTCCAGCGTTCAGGAGAGGCAGAGGCCAGATAAGGCTAGCGTAGCCACCTGCAAGGAAAGGGTCACTTCCCGGAGACAGATCCCAGGACTTTCGCCTCCTGAGGAGACATGGACACTGGGTGTCTGGCAGACAGGATATCCTTCAGCTACTACTGAACTAAGTATCAAGGGTAAGTGGGTGACAACAGATAACATGGACACTCCCCCTCCCACCAAGGGGAGAGAAAGTGACCCTCAACCCACAAAAACTACCAACAATGGCAGAAGTGTGTCCCCACTTTTTTCATATCCTTTTATTAATGACTAAGTGACTTTGGCATTACAATGAAACTGTTCAAAAGTTCTTACAAACCCAGTTTAAATCCAAAAAGACCCAATCCCTACTGACTTTATTTAAGAAAAGAATACACCTACTTCCATAGCTTAACATGTAGAGTAGATTTCTTCAGGAATTCTTGCTTCATAGTGTAGCTGTGTATAAATGAGAATCTGGTACAGCTGCCTTTAGTAGTAAGGAATAAGGAGAGTATTAACAGGAGAAACCCAGATTTTTCTATTTTAATTTCTACTCCTCCACCACAATTCATTTTGGGGGCAAAGAAAGAAATGTGTGTTTCGGCTGATGGTATGAAACCACCAGCAACTAGCTAACTGCATTGTGCTCTTAGGAAATTCCGACTCCCTGGAGTCAGAGCTGCTTCATGGTCCATTAAAACCTCTTTAGCTTTCTTAAAGCAGAAGAGGAGGAAATAGAAGAGATTATGGAGTTCTAGAGCAAACCAACTAAAATGAAACTTATGTCTCATTAAAGGAAACCAGCTAACACAGCCCACTGGGAAAGTAAAATGTGAAAACATGGCTTGAAAAATTATGAAACTAATGCCATTTACTTTGTATATAAAAAGAATAAAAGCAATAAGTATGCATATGTATTCAATACACAAGGCTTATTTAAACACCCTTTATCTGTCTACATCTGTTTTGAGACTCTTTTGTTTTCTTACTTTTTTTTCTTGGATTGGCTTTACTAACCTCACTTCATGGGGTTTTACTCAGTGCCAAGAGCATTAGCAAAAAATATATATATATAGTCATCTCTCTATGTGCTGCATGTAAATTATTCCCACAAGCAACCTTATCTATAGATGAGTGTTAGGAGAAAGCACATTTATTTTTAATGCTAATGGAAGAAAAACAAGATTAAGAAGGTGAAGACTAAGCTGGGGACATTTTTATATTCAAAATCCTAGATCCTATTTTTATGAAGGCAAAAAATTGTATATATTGACTGTTAATACACTACTTACAATAAGAGTAAAAGTGTGGAAAGTGGAAAATGGCTCCCTAATTTATTTCTCCTGTATTCCAAACTCATATTAATGTTGTTATGTTCCAGTTTTCTCTAAGACTTCTAATATTTAACAAAGTTCACCAGGAATGTTGTTTATTTTGCTCTGGTTCCTTAAAAACGAATCTGGACATATCTACACAAATTTGTCCAAGGAGGGTGAAAACAAGACACAGGACCAAGCCCAATTTTGGGTCTAGGATAAGTGCAAACCCCTCCAGCCAACCCTCTCCGTACCCCAAATGACTATTCCATAACATACCTTTGGCTCCACCCCTCACACTGATGCTCCCCTTGTTTGGGGACTTTTTTGGACCTCTTTTTCTGGCTACATCACAACAAATCCATTTAAATATGTTTGCGGATTTTCCTTCCAATGCTACATGCATCTGGTGGGAAATTCTCCTGATTTATCCACCCTGGTTGCCTCTCTTCCTGCAATCCTTCATGCTAGGATTGGGAATGGACTAATACCCTTTCCTGTTGTCTGTTGTCTGCAGAGATTTGTCGGGTTAAAGATGTTACTTTCTAATTTATTTATTGCAAGTGATTGAGATATATTAAATTCAAAGTATAAGATACTTATGTTTCTGATAATTGGAAGTACTTAAGTTTAATAAAAATGCAATATGGGTTTTACTACAAGAAATCTTTGGTCCAGCTAAGTGTTTGCCTGTTTCATTCATTGTTCTATTCCCAGCAACTTAAAACAGTGGAAAAAAGTGGTTGCTCAATATATATTTGTATTGAAAGGACATGGGGATCCATTTATAAGAAATAGAATTTAAATTAGTAAAGTACTACCTAACAGTAAAGACAAGGACCCAGGGAATCACTTTACAGCAGAATTCGAGTCAATCGCATGGGTTCCTTTTGCCTCAAGCACTGACCATAGAGGGATATCAAGACTTTTCTAATGAGTTTTGCTATTTCAGGAGGTTAAATGAAATTCTTAGCCAGGAACAAATAGATGAGAGAGGGAGAAAAAGAGAGAAAGGGAAGGAGGGAAGAAGGGAGGAAGAGAGAGAAAGAAACAGAGAAAGAGAGCAAGCTTGACCCAACATCTGAAAAGATTAAAGGCAGACAAACCTAAAGACATAACCCACCTGCACACTGGTCACCCAAATTTAAAACAGCAGTTCTAAATATAAGAAAAGTATTGTAGTTAAATCCTAATTGTCTAGATTAGTGATGTCCAGTAGAAATATAATGTAGGCCAGAAATGCGAGCCACATATGTATTCTAAAATTTTCTCGTAGCAACATTAAACAAAGTAAAAAATGTATAGGTAAATTAATTTGCATAATATATTTTCTTTAACCTAAAATATCCCAAATATTGTGAACTCAACATGTATTTAAATTTCAAAGACTATTAATGAGATATTTTAATATGACTTTTTTGTGTGCTAAGTCTTCTGTAGATTGTATATATTCACACTACAGCACATCTCAGTTGGAAAAGTCACAGTTCAACTGTTCAGGAGCCACAAAGGGTCACTGCATGGGATAGTGCAGTCTAGAAGCAGACACACCCCTTTGTGGACTATCACAAAGATCTTTTGACCCTGGGCTGACTTCCAGTGATCACCCATACATTTTTTTCAACGCTCACCAAGTGACTTAGCTCTGCTGTCATGATGCAACTTTTGTAGAGGTAAGCTCAACATGTCTACCGTCACTGGAGCACTACGGCACCACTGAATTTCCTCAATTGTGAAGAGGCTGAACTAGATGATTTTTAAGTCCATTTGAGTCTAAAACCTTATGACTATATCAAAAGCATTTTTTAAAAGTAAAAGCACTCTGTTTAAATAAGACATCATTGTCATTAATTTTGGTATTTGAAGATAAATCTACTACCAAAGTAACCAAAATGAAATACAGACTCACGGTAAATACTTTTACTATAAGATTTCTTTTGATTATCAATGGGATATTTATCCCTAGCAATATTCATTTCTAGAAAACATGTATTAAATGTCATAATCCCACCCCATCTTCTGCCTCCCTCCCACTCTCTACCTTCACTAAAATATCCACTTAAATGTTGAAATCTTTTTACACAATCAGTATAACAACCCGTGAATTTTCTAAAGCAGCCTTTACACAGAAGAATGAGGGAAGCTTACCAATGATTGTTAGGTAGAAGCCAGCCACTAAATCTGCTTCCCAAGAAAGTTTGGAAGCAAAAGGATCCCCATCTCGAAGGTAGTGTGGTAGGCGCTCATCCTGGGGCAGGGCCGTGTGGTTTAAGGCCATCCTGTTCTCAAGCCACCAATGGTCTGAAAAGCAAATTGGTAAAGATCTCAACAGATAAGCCAGCTTGAACCATCTCCTAATCATGGTTCCTGTTTTAAAGCCAAAAGCAAGTTCCCAGGATCATGCATGATTCTCTAATTAATAACTGGTTAAAATCTTAACTTTTTTTTAATGATCCAAACATGTCAATACTCAATTATTCAGTTTGTGAATTATCTAAGCCTGAATTTCTCCTTTGCCCTCTCACACTACCCTCTTTGATCCACTTCACACCTTCCCAGGGCGGATAAAAGGTTAAAAACTATCTGTTTTACTTTTTCTAGGCAATTTCTGTAAAGGTCTAAGCTAGGAAAGTGTATAAAGTGTGCACACCATATATATATATATTAATCTGTCAGAGTATAGTACTTTTTAATTATCTAAATCGCCCAGAAAAGCATCTCCATCAGTTATGCATTCAGTGAGCTTTAGAGTTTTACTAAGGAAAGAAATAGGCCATTGAGTACAAAGGAACATGGACATTTCACTAGATGAGGCTAAGAGCAAGGGAGGTTGTCCAGTTAATCTTGAAATCTGCAGTCATTTAGAAAAGTATTCAGCCTGTATTATAATTTACAAGCCTCACCTCCAAGATTAGTTTCTCAAGTTTCCTAGAGCAGAAAGCAACTTTGTTATTTCCCACCATTGCCTCTTCAAATCCATCCTCTCAATTTGCTCATTCATGTTCCACGATGAAATCATGAACAATGAACTCTAAATACACAGATCTTTGTACTGTTTCTATTGAATTTTGGTTTTGATAGGTTTCCCGAAAATCTTTCATGGGCTCTCAGCAAAAATAAAAGTCATATATAACCTTCATCCTGAAACTTGGAGCGGTGTGTTTTTCCTGAGATAAAGCCCACTGCTGAGGTCACAACTTCCTTTGGAGTGATTGTTATCATTTGTTTTGAAAGGGAATAAATATTAATGGGTATGTTTCAATCTCCTTTTAGATTGCTTATTTCAAATAGAACCAATAGATGTCACTATTCAGCTCTTTAGGAAGCGATTTGGAGCATCGTATTTCAGACTGCAAGTGGAACAGAGTTGTGTGCCTCACAGGTGGTGACAGGGTGACCAGCAGATTATGTAGTCAATCCTCACTTGTACCCCACATCTCTATAATAAAATAAAGAAATAAAATTTCAAAAGATGTAATTCAACTTTGCAAACCAATTTAACACCTTTCTAACTGCCAATTTACAGCTTACAAGGAACTTTTCAAGAGACTTGTGACACTCTCTGTGGAAGACTGGCTGAAACGACTGTCTCTTTCCACACACAGTTGGAGGACAGTCATGTGCTAATGTTCACTCAAAATCCTTCTCCTGGGAGCTATAGAAAGTCATAGAGAAACTGGCTGCCAGCCCAACCTTATCTCAAATTTCGTCTTTACCTTTCAAACTCCTGATTCTCCTTTGATTGCCCCTTCTTCTGGTAAATTCTCTTTCCACAGATACCCCATGCCCCTTGGATGTTCAGTCTTGTCCTTCACTTTAGATTCGGAATCATAAGATGAGGGCTGAAGTCCAGTTTTGATACCCACCCTCTGATTTTGAGCAGATTATTTAAACTCTCTGAACCACAATATCATCTGTAAAATGGACAATCTCATCCTTACTAATCATTCGTGCTAACTGTGGGAACAGTAGGATATTGAATTTGAAAGCACATTTTAAGTGGGTCTAGTTATTACATACTGGAACACCTACTTTTCCCAAACTTGCTTGTTCACCAAGATATAGCAATTGTATAATAGATTGCCAGGCTGGGCCTGGTGGCTAATCCCAGTTATAATCCCATCACTTTGGGAAGCTGAGGTGAGAGGATTGCCTAAGCCCAGGGGTTCAAGACCAGCCTGGGCAATTTGGCGAGATCTCATCTCTGCAATAAATCAAAAACTTAGCCAGGCGTGGTAGTGCATGTTTGTAATTCCAACTACTTGGAAGACTGAGGCAGAAGGATTGCCTGAGCCCAGCAGGCTGAGGCTGCAGCGGCCGTGAGTGTGCCACTGCACTTCAGCCTGGGCCACAGAGTGAGACTCCACTCAAAAAATAAAAACAGAGAGCCTCTGGGCCCTGTGCTAAATAAATTTATGCTTGTGTATTAATTCAAGTATTTACTGAACATCTCCTATAAACCTAGCAGTACAGGTAGGACATTAGAGATTTGCCATGTTACTTAGACTTGAGGATAACTATCATTCTGGACAAAGAAAAGTTGCAACTAATGGTCATAAAAAAATAAAACAATAAAATTCTGCCTTATTTGGTTTTAGACAATAATCTTTAAAGCAAGAAAATAATTATATTTTCTGAGAAATTTAGCTAGAGTGTGTGAGTGTGTGTGTGTGTGTGTGTGTGTGTGTGTGTGTGTAGTGTCACAAGTTGTCCTTCCTATAACTGAAGGTCCCCAGGTCTTGTCACAACCTAAGACAATATGATAATAGTGATAGTATAAAATTTCACCCCAGCTCCCAAGAGGCTTTAATTAGCAGTGGATATATAGAGAGGATATTTTCTTTTTTAAAAAAAAAATTTATTTTAAAGATGTGGAGTACAATTCAGGGTTAGGTATAGAAATGTTCATTATGCAGGTACTCTTGTTGATGAGGTGTGCCCCCCGCCAGGGGCAGTTTCCCACTACTGCCAATCCTTCCCCCTTCCTTCCCCTGGCATATGGAGGGTATTTTTAGTGAGGGAATGACATGAGCTAAGATTTGGGGGCAAAAATGAAGACAAAGTGTGCAAGGATTAGAAGAAAACTGGCTCTTTAGGAGAAGAGTCCATGATAGTGAGAAGTGGTAGCTATCTTGGCCCAGCAAAATGGGATCTTGTTCTGTAAAACCTAGACTGTCTGGCAGAAGAGTTACTTTTGGCATATCACATGTGGGTTTATTTTTTCTGGATCTACTGATCAAAATTTGTGCTATTGTTCAAGTTTGGAAATAAAATATTTGAAAATGTTTTCAGTTTTTTTCAAAAACACAACTTAGTTTCCTGAGGCAATTTTGTTGTGATGCTAGTTCATTATAAATGCAGAATTAGACTTTTTGCCAAAAGCAGGTTATAGCAATGTGACCATCATAAATATTTCTGAAGAACAATACCAACTGTACTACTTAAAAAGATAAATATGACATACACTCATGGAGGCATTTGTTCAGAGATCTGTTTTAGATCATTTATTTTCTTAATATTGAATGTGCCTGAATTACCTCTGTATAAATAAAATAAGTTTGTTCTCTTGTTTTCTTCCCTCTTTTACCTCCTGTGTTTGAAGACTGCTACTGCCCATCATGTCCTGCCTGTCTTACCAGGTGCTCAGGATCCCTCACTGCTACAACCCCAGTTCCCTGAAACAGCAGCCTATTATCAAAACCAGTGGTTCTCAACTGGCTACACACCTGAGCCACTTGTATACTTATTTTTGCTTTTTTGTCTGTTATTATTGTTATGTTTGTGTACTAGCTGCTCTTTAGATGGCATGGTCTGAGTGCAGCTTCCGGAAGCTGTGATAGCTACCACAAAAGCATTTCCAAGAGTATCTGATAGTACATAGAGTTTGCCAAATAGCATAACCATGGAAACTTTCTTTTCTTGCAAATGCTGCATGGCACTAGTGCTCAGAAAGATGACATATGTGGGGAAATGCTGCTTTATTAAGACTGCATTAAAGAATAAAGAATTAAAATAACACCTCCATAATAGGGAATTCTAAAAGTAAATTGCACCTAGAAACCCTGAACTTTAAATAGAAGGGAGAAGCTTTGGTCGCTGCTGAAGTACTGCCCAGCACTGGAAGTGCTTCTTTGATGAGGCTCCTATGAGGGGTCTGGAGGAAAGTATCTTGTTTAAAGTGGAGAATAAAATAAAAGACTTCTCAAACCTCCCCCTGAATTTATGATGTGGTACAACGATATCAATTAAACTTCCTGGAGAAAGTTGCATGTTAGCATAATCTTTTAAGCAATAAAAGGTTCTCTGCTGCTCTCACATCTGCTAATCAATGGTCTTTTTTACCATAAATAAAACTTCCTAAGACTGTTCTCATAATGGCTTATAACAGAAAAAGTTGAAAACCCACTCCTCAACACCCATAAACATCTTAAATAACTTTTGAGTAACTAGAATTAGCCAGGAAAAAAAATCCTCTAATTCCATAATAATAATTAAAGGATAACATGAGACATAGCCAGAAATTCTTATGACCAAACTAAATAGACCTGCAAAATAGCTTTAAGCTGACATAGAAAAGAGAATAGCACCGGTCACCTCCTAAGAAGAAACAAACACAAGTTAGTATCAAGGGAAATAATCCAATTCTGTTCAACTTCATCTGGTCTTAAAGTTATCTTTTAGAAATATTAGGTAACAAATTTCCCCTTGACGTGCTAAATTTTCTCCACTTTAAAGCAGGAAATAGTAAAAAGCATGAATATTGTGGAAAGCCATTTATGCAAAGTGTCTGAAAGCTTCCTGCCCCAAATGATCTTCCCCACTGGCCTGCTCTGGCCTTCAAAATTTTTACCTTAAGGCATTGTCACCACAAAGTTTCTTTCTAGAGATATTTTATCTGAGAACACAAGATTTGAATCTACCAGCACCCATGAAAACTTGAAAATAAAGAAAATACAAAGGAGCGTATGTAATTAGTTACTTGACCTTGCAGAAGCCAACAAACCTGAAAACAGTCATGACGTGGCATAGAGGAGGGAGTGGGAACCATGTAATACATAGGTCTTTCTGAAAGAACATGGAAGGCCATGAAATATCCAGAAAGTTAACAAAGAAACACCTAAGAACTATAGAAAGGATGTCCAAGAAAGATGAACAGCAACAATTGAAGTATTCAAGCTCTAGGATTAAAATCTGCCCAGTGTAAGCCTGATAAAATGTAAGCAAGAAACACAGTTTATTAAAAATTTGGAGTTCTATAGATGGTCTACATAGGTCTTTATCAAATAGTTGATTGCCTGTT